TTTAATCCAAGTGATACTATTGATAATAGTAATTCTAATAGTACTACTAATACTACGAATAATGCCTATGCTAATTCTACTTATATTACCACTTAAACTACTAATACTACTACAAATAATATTATTACGGATAACACTAATACTACTAATACTATTAAATACTACTAAAACTACGATTACTACTACTAACACGACCATTAATACTACTGATACTACTACTAATGTCACTAATACTAATACTGCTCCCAATACTAACAACGCTATTATAACCACCAATAATACTAATAACACTAATAAAACTACTAATAATACTACTAACACTATTATTGCTTCTAACACAACTAATGCCATTATTCCTTCTGATACTACTAATTGTATTACGACTACTACTACTACTACTACTAATACTTCTCATATTAATAATACTACGAATACTAAACATATTACTACTAACACTACTAATACTATCAATACCACGAATATTACTCATATTATTATTAGTAATAATACAACTAAAACGACTAATAATAATACTCATATTACTACTACTACTACTAATACTACTAAGTTTACTAGTACTACCCTTACTACGAATGCTACTAACACTACTTATGCTACGAATACTGTTAATACTATTGATAATGATACTAATATTATTGTTGATACTAATACTACTAGCACTACATATACTACTAAAATGACCAATAATGCTAATAATACTAATTATATCACTAATATTACCTATACTAAAAATACTTTTATTACTACATATAATACTAATAATACTGTTAATACTAATAATATTTCTAATACTACTAATAATACTAATACCAATATCACTACTTCTAATAATACTGATACTACTAGTACTACTAATAGCATCAATAAAACTCACAATACGAATACTATTATTACTAATAATAATACTACTCACTTTACTCATACTACTAATATTGCTAATAATGCTAATACCACTAAGACTACTAATACCAATAATAATACTCATAATACTAATGCCACTATTACTACTTCTAATAGTACTAACATTATCAATAAATCTATTACTAATAATACTGCAAATACTACTAATACTGCTATACTACTTCTAATACTACTAATAATGCCAATAACGCTACTAATAACACTAATACTGCTAATACCGAAAATACTGATACTAATACCACTATTAATAATAATACTATTAACACTACTAATACTACTTATACCAATTTTAATACTAATGATGATACTGATACCAAAATAGTTGTTACACTACTAATAATACTAATATTACTAGTACTAATAATACTGAGAATACTACTAATACTAAGACTAAAAATACTACTATTACTGTTGGTACTACAAATACTATCTATACTACTACTAATGTTACTAATAATACTACTACTATTAACACTACTAATACTACAATTAATACTAATGATACTTATGCTAATATTAATGCTATTATAATATCAATAGCACTAACACTAGTCTGATTCATTGCTTAATCAAGTGAATAGTTTTATGGATTTAACTTATTCCTAAACCTGGTTACATTTCTCGATGGATTTTAAGAAGAAACAGACAAGAAATACGTTTCAATCCATTCTAATGAGTATTTATTTAACCTAACACAATATATTCAACACAATGTGACTATGATTCGCTTTCACAACACAAATACCACACAAACTACGACTGATCCATATCATCGATGTCACATTTTAGGGTTGAATGAAATTCTGACATATTTTCTATGGACCTCAATTGATTGAATGCAAAATTCGACGAAACTATGAACATAGAGAAAACAGTAAACAGTAAATGGCATGTGGATATTTGCAGAAATAAACCTTGTTTTGACTGTTGAATTCACAAATCGAACTAAGCTAGACCAACAGTGAAAACCTGCAAGTATTAGACGGTTCTTACGTCCAAGTAAGCGACTCCTCAGAAGTGTGGATCCGCATGCTAACTTACAACCTCTAGATTATTATGTCGGAATCCAATTGTGTTAACGTCTAACTTAAATCAATCCACGGTATTTCATAACCCTTCACCCATTGTTTGAGGTGGATAAATGTCTCATATTCCACACAGATTCGATCCCACTTCGATCGGCTCGTGAATTCAATGTTGAAAATACTATAATTTACACAAATTATTATACTGATAAAAACTTGTTTTGTAAAATTATGAATCAGAGCGCAGTTGAAGAACTACTTAACAACTAATATGGAATGGATAATCATTTGTGGTATTTTAGTAGAATACAACAAATGATTAAAGCCAAGTTATTGATTCGCAATAATAATGATTAAGTAGATTTAGATAAATTTTGTAAATAAATCAACAGATACTAACTGGTCGTGATCAAATGTTGCCCTAAGACAAAACACTAAGGGTCAAGGCATCTCACCAGAACTGTGGTCACTATCATGGATCCAATTGCCAGTGGATATATGAGACGTAAATATCATCGGTTCAGTCTTATATTTATTCAAGGGTTCATTGATTTTAATAGATTTTAAACGAAAATAAAACTCCTATCTACTATATCTTGATTTAAAATGATCAATTCCTACTACATATACCCTTATGAAACTGATTATTACACAAAATGTATACCAATTATGGTGCACACAGAAAGTGAGTAATAGTTCAGTGAGAGATCTTTACAGATAGTCTGAATATTTCAACGGAATACTGTTGACAAACAGTGACTAGTTGAATTTAATTATTTCAAATGATGATAGCACAATATTGCAAATCAATAAAGATAAGATTAACAAAAGTTCACTTCAATGTTGACTAGTATCATACTTATCAAGAATATAAAAAGTAGTATATCCAGTTATGCATTAAATTAATAAATGAGACTACCTGAAGAGAATCGAATAAAACCAACATTACTCTCTTGTGTCTCCACCGTTTACAAACAATTCAACTACTTCTGTCAGCCCATAACAATTAATCTCTGTTCTCATTCTATTTGATTCGATCTTTCCAATTTTCTTCTGTTATACCTTCCATTACTGTTTGGTGTTATATACTATTTATATTTGTCGTCATAAGTACATACATCACCATGTGATTTGAAAATATTATTTTATCGAGACTGGAAGCCCCGTTACTATTACTCTAACATTGTTAAATATGACTTATGAAATGCACGATTTGAGTAGATGTCGAGCAATTCATACTAGGTAAGAATTAAGTTATAAGAAGGCTACTAAGTACAAATAGCAAGGCGATAGATCTGGCATCGAATCTTCATTGATTGTGATAGTTTAGGAATGTATTAGTTATACCAAGGCGCAGCCCACAGAAACATGAAAAACTGATTACTTTAGGAGAAGGTGAGCCCAACGATAGGGTTGAGAAGACCTTAACGCAATTTCTGTACATTTAATCAGTAAATTGTGGTGTTAATCATATTGGTGGGTGCAAACCTATTGATTAGAATTCATACAATAGTTGTAATGCAGGTGATGTAAACCAGTAACTTATCAAATAAAAGTCTAACAAATGGCCAGTGTTGTGAACTGGATTAAGATCTAGGATTAGTGGTTCGAAAGAACAAGAATTGTAACTACCTAAATGAACACTTAACCAGATAGTTCTTTGATTCTAACCACCATGAACCTTAAAGTTGGAGTAAAGCGATTCGGAAATCATAATCCCTGTTACTTAGTCTTCTACTTTGCCAGTATTCGGTATTTGAGTGCCCAAATATTTGTAGGCTTTATTTGGCTCTTAATATAACCAGTAGTGGAATCCAGGATGTGTTTGCTTCATTTTCGGAACCTATCGGCTGAATGCACTCACATCCCAACGTTGATGTTAATCTTGAAACTCGAATCTAATACATATCACTTCAAAGACAAAAAAATTTTATATCAATTTACTGAGTCCGACAACCTACTGGCATATTCACTGGGTATAAAATTATGTGTACGGAATCCTTTGATGATTCTATGAACTGAGAATGGTCAGCCGCTGTTGGTGAAGTTTCGTTCTCTGAGGTGAATGGTTCGTTTGATTACTGATCTTTGATCAATGTGTAAATTTGTCGAATAGCTTACCAGTTCAACTGGTAATATAGCGCATGCAATCAGTTAGAATATCTAACCATAGCACATCTAATTTTCTCAAAACGTCACGGTTACAAGTCATGATGCATTTAGATAGTGACTCACAGTGGTATTTAAGCAGTGTTTCCCGACTGACTGGTTGTAGTTCTTAATGTAAACAACAGAAAAGTACAAATCTTTGAATATACACTCGAAGAAGAAACTAAAAAAAAACATGAAAGTTTGGATGATACATAACTCGAAATTTCTAGAAAGATAGAGAATGAGTACAGTTAAGCCCCCCACCCGACCCGAACAGTTTGTGCTACATTACCCAAAAATATTCCGCAGACTTTAAACAACTAATCATTGAATCTTTAACATTATTATACAGTTTAATCTTTACATATAAAATCAAATACTTACTTGAGTTAGGTTTTTGTGAACAAACACCATGCTTTAAAAGAAAATGTTCATCATTATTCATTTGATTAACATATTTTGAATGATATGGATTTTCTTGATCGTTTTCCTGTTTCATACTTGTTCGCTTCATTTCTATTATTCTTTTAAAAATTCTATAACCCAATTCACTATTGAATGGATAAAATGATTTCCTATCATGATCATGAAGAATATTGGATTGGTAACCAATTGGTGGTAATTTGTTTGGATGCCACCACTTTTTTTCTTCAGATATACTACGTTTCATCTGTGGTAATAAAAAGAAACAAAAGAGAAATGAGATAATTTGCTATATGGGTCGGTACAGGCTGTCGTGTTAATAATTGTTGGCAATATCTTATGCAGTGATACTAGATTCAAACCTCATATGACGTTCCCGTGTTGTCAAGCTCCTGTTATCCAGAATGAAGTGATCTTCATTCTGAAACTATCTAGTTCAGGAAACTCTATCTAAACTAACGCAGCCAAATGAGCTAAATTATACTCTCTACTCTGATTAATTAGTAGTTATTCTAAAGTTATTGTAAATAACATGTGTAATCAATGGTTAGTGTTCTGTAGCCGGAGACAGTCAACAGGAATTTCTAGGCTTTGGTTTCAAACGAGTCGGCATTCACCAACAAGCAGAATCTGCTGCCTTGATGGAACACTGCCACAAGTACGATCTTAACCCTCACACCAAAAATTCCAGATTGTATGCACTATATTTAGAGTTCAGGTGTCGATATCAAGTGACTTGAACTGGCCTTCACACTGGAACTTCGTTGAAAGGACTGGACAACCACTTAGTTCCAGGCAAACATGTTATTGATAACTATTTAGTGATCGTAAACTATGCTACTACTACTGAGTAGTATATATTTTCAAGTAAAACAAAAGTTTATCAGTATATTTTTTGTCATAAGCTAATGAGTAGAAAACTTCCATTTCTGGCTTTACGTAACTTCATGTAAGCCAATTCTTCAGAACAAATAAATAACCGAATTGGATACAATCACTCTATTCATCGGGATATAACAAACAATATATTTACAATGAACACTCTACCCAATACTCAATTTATATGAAACGATCATGTCTAACCATGGCATTGATACCTATGAAAAGTAAATCGGCTTTGAAGCCCCTGGTGATGTTGTCTTCCATGAAAAACTATAAATCACAAGACTTATTCGTCGTAACACACTACCGTGTTTATTTCAAGCCATCATTAAACTTCTATGGTTTATCTAGGAATTTACTTTTGTTGCACTAAAAGCAGCATGAATATTGAAGACCCCAATAGATATTGTTAGTTAAGATCAATTAGGAATTAAAAACGTACCAAATAGATAAATCTTAATCGTACACACATTTTGACTGCTCTCATCGGATATATGTGTCAGTATCCCTAACCTTCAACATTCCTATACCTTGAAAATATACATTCCCCATGAGAAACTGATCAATTTTTCATGACCATTTCAACAGTTATTCAAGTTTATCTTAATTCGTTTGTCTTTATAATATCGGTTTTAATTGGATACGCATGAAAACCCATCATTGCGTGCACACGTCCGACGGTAGTTCATTTAAACTTGGTTACTTTAATTTTACCTAAAATCACTAAATTTACAACTTGTCGAACCTGACATTTTCACCCACATACAACCGAACGTAAGTACTGCATATATTTAAAAACAAAGCAATCGAAGTACGATAAATGTATCGAAAATAACGATACAAATGATAACGATCTATTCTATTAAATCAAAGGAACAAGGCTTTGAAAATAGTGGTTAATTTAGTTTCCATCATGGAACAGTGTACCATTTTCACCTGAACTTATGGACTTTTCGTCAGCCAGTCAAAAGCAGAAGACAACCTCACACATGTAAACATCAGTTCAAGTTGCCATATCACATTAGCACCAGATGAAAATAAAATAGTAACAGACGTGGTGAAAGGAATTGCGATAATAAAGATTAGAGATCGATAATGAGATTTGAGTTAGTGGACTGAAATTTCCTTCAGGTAATCTAGGAACTTAGGTTTTCAGAAAGACAAAGAATGAATGTATTCGAAATTGTCAGAGGAAATTACAAGGTAGTGAATACAGTGACATTATTGAAGATATGACTCAAGAAAGTATAAGTTAGTAAAATGAAAAGATTATGTGGGACCTAGAAACCTAAAATCTGAGGACGTGAATGCAAGGGATTCTGAAACATGCCCACCACAGGAGAGTTGTTGTATCTTCCAACCATATCTAAACATATTAGTTAACCAGAGGTAGTTGGCAGGAAATCCTGTTCCTACCTCTCGTGCTAGTTGTCACTTACCAAAAATCTTGAGGCAAGTGATATTCTAGCCAGCATAGCTTACTTCCGTAGTCTGAGGAGTTAACCACTCCACTATTCTGGAGAGACTAACCTAGCAGAGAACTAGAACACTAGCATTTTTCGATCACTCAGTATTGACAAATGTGTCATAGATTTCCAATCTCTCTAGAGAGTTTCTCAAAAGACTACCTCCGACCATCTAACATCAAAACAACGTGTAAATGATCCTGGATCCCTTAGACGAGTGACTATATTGCCGTACGTTCGATCGAATTCGGCCACTTGCATTAAATGACTAGATGAACATAACTTTAGTCACTAACCAGTGATTAATCAATTGTAACAAATAAGTTGAAACAACTCTAACTGTAAACAGAACGCGTAAACTCAGAACAAGTACTAAAACAACTGTAAAACAATCAACATATGTTTTATTTACAAGAAAAAATTTAGAAAAAAAAAACAGATAAAAGTAGACATTTTACAAATGATATTTTATATTTATCAGAAATGATTATATCATTCGAGCTTCTTCAAGTGTAGAACCACGTGGATCAGATCCAGTTGTTGTTGTTGATGGTGGTGGTGGTGGACCAAGTGGACGTCGTCCAGATGACCAACCACCTAAAGAACCTGGAGTATATTCAACAATTGCACAATCCACATAATCACCAATCTGGAGAGAAAAGATAAAAACAACTAGAGTATTATTACTTTTAATCAAAATATGAACAGTAGTATACTATATTCAATGAATAATTCTGATGAATTGTTAGATTATTGATCTTAATCACCAAGTAAATGTTTTTAGATTTAGCATAGAGCGATAAATCAACATGAGTTTAATTACTGGTGATATCGTTCGAATGGAGTAGGACTCATATTTATTTATTTATTTATTTTAACACATAGGTATAGGTACAAGGAGGCACCAAATACATATGCGCCACACGAATCTCAATTGATTTGTGTGAGGGCTGTGATACTGCCCGGGTGCCCAAACCGAAGCAGGTGGTTTTCTTAGGGGGCCACACCCCGAGCCTTTGACCTGAAGATCTGATCCACAAGGCAGTGGAGCATCGTGAGGAGATGCAGTCCCATGGTAGTCGGTGACCAACGATTGGTTCATACGCCATTTGATCCTTTAGGATACTGGAGCCCATGTGCACCATTGATTTGGGATCCGGTTAAAGCGCCGGAAATTCGCTTTTCGTCCTCTCATTTTCGTAAACAACAGTAACGCCACGAGAAGGCAGTGAGTAGGACTTCCCTGGCAGAGGCTATATACGCGTGGCCATGTGAGAGCATTTCGAGAGGGAGAGCGGACTCTCCCCACTCTCGGCCGTACCAGGGCATTTGGGGGCAGTAGGACTCATAAAGACGATATAATTAATACAACTGACAATTCAGTGTTTCATTTATTAGATCGGCTAGTGTTACTAATTGATTAGGGGTTTCCTATAAATTAAAAAGTGTTCTAATCGGAAATCATTGATTTTATCCTTTAGAATAAACTGTAAAACATGATGTATTAGCCGATTAAATCGAACAATCTTCATCACATCCTAAAATAACAAGTGCCATGGTGCATACAAATCATCAAATTCAACAGGTAAATTACAGAAATCTATCAGGAAATCGTAAACAAAGGAGTTATTTCACCACATCAAGTATGAGGCAAATACCATCAGTGGCAATGAATAAAAGTTATAGAATATTGTGAATTAAATGAAGTTTAGAATGTAAACCACTGGATATCACCTTAGTCAACTGTAGGTTAAGAAATAACCACAAAGCTTAAATTATCTGGGTTTGTTGATAATTTTTATTTATTTTATTTGAACACATAGATATTGGTACAAGGAGGCACCAAATATATATCCGCCACACAGATCTCATTTGATATATGTGAGGGCTGTGATACTGCCCGGGTGCCCAAACCGAAGCAGAAGGTTTTCTTAGGGGGCCACACCTGAAGCCTTCGAGCTAAAGATCTGATCCATAAGGCAGTGGAGCATCGTAAGGAGATGCAGTCCCATGGTAGCCGGTGACCAACGATTGATTATGAATGTGTACCACTAATGAATGATATAATGCTCATCAGTGCTTCCTTCTCTTGAATGTTTGTTTAACTGAAGTCATTCCATTATGCAGAACTTAGAAAGATGACTTAATACATAACTAGTGACGCAACAAGATAAGTCCAATTCAATAAGGTTAATAGTAAATACTAATATAATTCCAGAATAGTAATGTTAACTGGACGAGGATAGCTTGACCTTGTTTTCATATTCTATTCAAGCTAGGAAATTATGTACAAACCTATCAACGTTAAATGCTAAACGAAAAAGATTTTGTACAGTACATAGTGATCAATCAATTTGTAAATCTTTTAATTCTACAAAAAATAAATTATGGCTTAAATAGCTCCATGATAACGTTTCATACTGTGACAAGAGATTTAAATCTTATTAACAGCATTTGTTCCTTCTAAATTGTAGGTACCAAGTAGCACACATCACTTACATTCAAGTGTATAGATTTTATTGAACATAACTAGAATCATTTATTACAATCTTTATTTAATATTAACTTTGTAAATATGCAAAAAAATAGGGTCAATGATCTCATTTTATAATTGATTTCATGAACATTTCATATGGTGCGTAGTCCAGTGTCACCCAAGTTATTTAACAAAACAAATGCCCTGGTACGGTCGAGAGTGGGGAGAGTCAGCTCACTCTCTCGAAATGTTCTCACATGGTCACGTGTATATAGCCTCTGCCAGGGAAGTCCTACTCACTGTCCTCTCGAGGTAGGGGTGTTGTTCACGAAAATGAGAGGACGAAAAGCGAATGTCCGGCGCTTTAACCGGGTTGGTGGACATGGAGAGTCTACCTAAGGGAGTTAGAAAACCCTGATTTCAAACCAATGATGTACATGGGCTCCATGGTCCTGAGGGAGCAGATGGAGTATGAACCAATCCTTGGTCACCGGCTACCATAGGACTGCATCTCCTTACGATGCTCCACTGCCTTATGGATCAGATCTTTAGCTCGAAGGCTCGGGGTGTAGCCCCCTAAGAAAACCTCCTGCTTCGGTTTGGGCACCCGGGCAGTATCACAGCCCTCATACATATCAAATGAGATCTGTGTGGCGCATATGTATTTGGTGCCTTCTTGTACCAATATCTATGTGTTCAAATAAAATAAAATAATAAACAAAACAACAAATTCACACATTCATTCTACTTTGAATGAATTCTCAAGAAAATAAAATAATTTGAGTCTATATTGAAATATTGATGTGTTGCTAGTAAAAGTAAGATGTGATTGGTCACCATGAGTAAACAGAAAGACAATCAATGTACTTAGTGTTATTGATTTCTATTCTGAACTCACTGAGTGTTCACTGCTTGTAATTGTGTTGGATAAAATACTATCTAGTTTTCACTCTGCTTCTCTATATTTAGTTGTGAATCATGTATCTAGTATAAAATGATCCATTCTGCATATAGCGTATCGATCGAGTGTCTTATTTAGTGGTAGTGTGGTGTCCCAGCCGTCTTTAGGTTAGTCAAACGTTATTTAATGTAGGCAATTAGCTTTTCTTGAAATTATTTCTGTTTCACAAGGCTTAAAAACCCACCGCGTGGATGTGCTTTTTTGTGGGGAAATCGTTACTTACAGGTGCTGGGGCGCGGGTATCGCACCAAGGGCAACTACAATCGACTCACGTCCAGGTAACATATGCACACCGGTAACACAAAGCAATGAACGTCTATATTGATTTTAGGAAACATGTATATCTAGTCGTCAAATAAGAACCGTAAAAAGATAAAGCACAGTATATAAACCTGATACATGGAAGATTTCACTGTTTTAGAAGCTCATTCATGGATTACGGTTAATTTATTACAAAATTGTTACTTCGAAATGTAGAGATTGGAGTTTACCATGTATTATGTGCAGTGATTGTGTAATTAATGTACATTATTGTGAATTTTGAATAATAAAATATCCAGAGTAAATCGACCGGGCGTGTTCGTATGCTGATTAAAACAGAAAGTTGGTTTTGTCGTTATCGTTGTCAGTATACTTGGATGACAAAACAACTAGGGCGACTCAATAAATTAATAATCGTATCAAGTGATCATATTGAAGGGAAATCATATCACATTTGAGCCAAAATGTGTGAAGGTGGACGCGAAATTATTCGGCTGCCTAAACTGAAGAGGCTAAAAGCTGATACCTTGGTAGTTGCGAAAATCCAATGACGACATAAACTAACTAACGTAGACCTTAAAAAACCAACTGGATAATGTAATTACCTGGAATTTTTTCGACAACAGAGTTACTGATGAGTCATCAATCAAATTAAAAGGTCTCTGAATATTATTATTACGATTCGTTGTTGTATCAGCAGAATTATTATCAAATTCACCAGAGCTTAATCCATAACCAGTGATAACAACACCTAATTGGCGACGTCCATAAGTACCACGACTATCCGGATAGACTATTGCGAAATGCATACGTGTACCACGACGTCTAGCTATGGGCACTACATTACGTACTTCATCAGCTAATTCAGCAAGCGTTGCGTCAATCCTAAAGAACGGAGTAAAAGAAAGGCATATCATAAATATATATTACCGTTGATGGACGTCATAAAATCAGTCAAATACAACGCACAACCTAGTACGTATGTACATCGATCTAAGTTGCCATACTTCATTACCACAGAGAGATCAAATTTTCAGACCAAATCCCATAATAGTAGAGGTAGTAACAGCATCAGTGGTAATAGGAAAGATTAGGCATCGGATATTATTCGAGAAAATAAAAATAAGTGAATCAAAACACTGAGAAGAATTATGAGGTAATCAGAAGCTTAGGATTTGGACGGACCGATGCACCTGAGACGTCACAAACGAGTTTTAACCACGTCATTCAAAGTTATTTACAAACGGTTATGATGACCACGTGGAACTGAACTGGGCAGTCTACACCTATTGAAATTGCTCAGTTCAATCGTCCATGACTGATGTCATGTTTTGGTCTGGTCGCCCCTTGTTTTCTTGCAACCTACTTTTACACCAGGCAACATCGTTTATCGAGGTAGGCAGTGACTGGGCATACGTAATACATGTCCCAACCACCTCAACTGCTAAACATCTATTACCCCAACAATCAATTTGTTATCCATAGCGTCACGCAAGTTGCCAAAAGCCAACTAGGCCCACCGATACCTTGCTGAGAATTCGTCAGACACCAGACCATCAGGACTGATGTGACTCTCAAGATAAATGAGGCGGTCGATATGTTCAACTACTTCATTCTCTATCATTAATTCAAGTGCTGACGCGATCCTGAAGCAACATTTTGCATTTGAAGGGAATCGCATTACAAACACGCTTACATTGTTGCTTAAAGTGGTCAGAAAAACGTCCTGACGACATTCAACGAACGATAGTAATACTGTAGAACCTAAGTATGATTTTCACCAGTTAACAATTACAGCTAATCTAACCAAGTGACAACGTTTCACACGCGAAAACTGTCAGTTTCCACTAGATTAAAAAACATCTTGTTGACGAAGACAAATTAGCGTGAAACATAGCCCTAGAGGATCTCAGAAATTTCCTTCAACTGGATAACAACAACGAGATCTAGAAGTGTTATAAGAGGTATGTGTGACATTACCACTTCATGAATTCTTATACAATGAGGGGTTACTTATGTTAGGCGTTCCCCAAATGACCTATTTCGGATGGTAGAACTTAAAGAAAAGAGCATTTTGGTTAATATAGATTGATTGGAACATTAAGATAGGCGAATTCACGCATCATATCAAGATAGCAGATTAACGACCTGACATAACAAATATGTCGATTTCACTGAACTGACGGAAATAATGAGTCGGTAGAAAGCTCAATAGAGCAATGAGAAGACAGAGTTGATCTGACAAATATGACTTATTTGCGCTATACATTTTGAACAATCTAGTCACACATATACTTGTCAAGGCATTTTATATGAGCTCACCAGAGAAGTAATTTTGTATAGGAGATACATGGATGATACATTAGCTATGTGTGATATTAGATCAACTAAATGGTGTACGGAATGATATCGTAATGACCTATGAAGCAGAAAATAATAACCAATTACCCTTTTTGGACACACTTGAGTCGAAGTGAGATTGGAACTATAAGACGATCAGTTTATAGAGTGGTTCTTGCATTTAATTGGTTCGTAAATTAACTGTTCGCTAATAGCCTAGATGGAATGTGACTGGCAATGAAATTCAGGCTCTATTTTGTCCTATATTGGACTTTTCAGCTATATGCATATCCATTTCAATGTTGATGGTGTTCATATCAGGACTCAAAAGTAGTTATTTGTGCTCAAAACACCGAACTTGTCCCTCCCTGAGCTTTTAAGATCAGATAGTCACCATCTTGTGTGACGGCTATGATATTTATGTCCTTACTAGTAAGGTTTGAATTATCCCGTCTATGGTAGTGAGACCTTAGTTTCGACCAGTCTTTTTTAGTAAATCTGAATTCTGTGCGGATTGTTTCGATATAACCACCGCTAGCCACAACTGATATATTCATCATAAGTTATTTATTTATTCAAACATAAACATTGGTACATGCAGGCACCAAATATATGTGCAACTCTTCGCCGTGAGATTTGTGTGAGGGCTGGATTACTGTCTGAGAGCCGAAACGAAACAAATGGTTTTCTTAGGCGGATACACCCCGAACCTTTGACCTAAAGGTCTAGTCCACAAGACAGTACAGCAACGTAAGGAGATGAAATCCCATAGTAGCCGGTGATCAACATTTGGTTCATATGCCACTTTTTCCCTCAAGAGCCCATGTGCACCATTGGTTTGGAATCAGGGTTTTCCAACTCCCCTAGTTTGATCCTACACATCCACCAACCAGGTTAAGGCGCTGGATATCCACTTTTGTCCTGTCAATTTCGTAAACAACACTCCTGTCGCGAGAAGGCATTGAGTAGGACTTCCATGACAGTGGCTATATACGCGTGGCGATATGAGAGCATTTCGAGGATGAGTTCACTCTCCACACCCTCAGCTGTACCAAGGCACTCGGGGGCAATAATAGTGATATCAAGACGATCTGTCTAGGATATTAGCATGTCAACAATAGCTAATCAAAATTTAGTCCTTCATATCAACGGGATAACTTAGATAGTGGTAATAATATATATTAAGAAACCAGGAGAATATTTGGAGCTTATTCGATCGCGTGTCATACTAACGAATCTAACGCACAATCTATCACAATAGAGAGTATTATATTAATGATATATCTGTGACTAATGTGAGTACAGTGCAAGTTTTTACATGACTAAGTAAAAATATAAACTAGCTCACTAAGGGTGTTACTTACGGAATCAACTAATCAAAAGACCGATTCCATTTGAACGGACATGATGAGTCAGTTTAACCTTGGTGCACTATACATTATTTAACTACTATTATGATGTGTGCTACTTATACGGACAGATAGAAGTAGTATGTATCAGGAATTGAAAGTAGCATTCATACGGAAAGAAGAGGAAAATGAGAAAAGAATATAAAACAGAAAGCAATAGAAATAATAAAAATGGAAGAACGGAGAGTTTGGAGGGACAACTCAAAGATGTGCAAATAGTGCATTTAATGCATTTCTTTTGTATTTTACAAATGCAGTGTGTGTTTGCATGATATAATTATTTGGTTCACTTTAACCAAGGCTTCGTTCATTAAACTATCATCTGATCTGCAAAATAAACGACCGAAATCACATCACACAAACCTTGATTCTAAAGAAATCAAAGGTGATTTGCTCACTGAACCAGATCACAAACCCTTTCAACTTATGAAACATGGTATACCACACCTTCTGGGATCATTTACTGTCTCCAAAATAGGAAGTGGTGATGCTGATCACAACACTGAGGCGACGCAGCGTGAAACGATGGCAATGCAATTGAGTTGCCTGAATTATGAGGATTTCTATGGATGCTGTTCTGAACATTAAAAATGGACACAGGAGGAAGGCTAGTGGACTGCTAGATATAAAATATTTAGTTTAGAGGAGGAAGATAATTGTTGCATCCTAGATTTTACACGGAAAACGTTTTCACGACTTAAGTTTGTGTACGATTATTAAACAAGCTGAACATATACACTGAGCATAAAATCGAATTAATTTAAATCAAACTTACCATGTATTGAATTGTATTTCATTTTCCGGTGTACGACGTTTATTATAATCTGACAATGAATAATGACGTGCGTTTGTGGAATAAAATAAACGAAGCAGCATAGGACAAGTATTCTCCCGGTCAATTCCACTTGGAGCAGTGATTGGTACAGGACGATTTTTGAATAGAACAGGTCGTGACATCAGTTTCTTTGATCGTTCATCTCTTAAACGCCGTTTATTATCATCATTATTCGGACGTGAGTAATCATTCGGTTTTGATTTTGACTGCTTTTCTGTATAATCTTCTACTTCCTCCTTTGGATCTTGTAAAGAACGACGTACAATAATACGTCTAGTTTCTTCACTTGGCTGTATCTCTACACCACTAGTGGGTCCACTTGAAGCAAGATGTACAGAAGAAAACAACGCTGGGGAACGACTTCTACTTCGGCGATCTAAACGTTTACGATCAACACCACCTCTTCTTATTTCATCATCATCGTCATCAGCAGTATCAATTGGAAGTGGTGGCTTTTGCCATCTAGATAATGGTGAAACTGGTCGAACAAGACTTCGAAGATTGGTATTTCTTCCGTTCTCCATTAAGAAAATATAGGTGTTTTCTATTTTGAAATAATGATTCAATTAGAAATAAACTTTAAGAGTGTAAACTGAATAAAGTAGGGTTTATTATATTTATAAAACAGTAAGATATAGAATTAGCACTTAGAGGTTGTAGGCTCGAATCCTGTGCTCCACTTACTTTAGTCTGAGTAAATTGAACCAAAAGTCATTTAAGCCCTAATACAAATAACATAATCACAATACAATAAAATAAACTTGTAATTTATTAAAATACGTATAATCTACTAGTATAGCAACTGTTGTCAACATATACATTTGTGTAATGTTATACTTTGGTTTGACTAACTGACTGATTGACAATCACATTTATTGAATATTATAAATCGTCGTACAGCAAGGAAGTCTCAGCACCAATTGTGGAATGTTACAGTAAATATCTCATTGACGTAATTTTAAATTGTAATTATCCAGAACATATTTTGTGTTCATAACAGTCAGTGGCTATCACCTGTATTCAAATATCAAACTCCCATCCGTCGTATATAGAGTGCTTGGACTCCAAAATAATATTTGTACAGTTGAAGCATTAACGGTTCAAACATTTGAGTAGGCCGCCACGAAACTATGCTCACAATTATTCGAGACCAGTGGTCAAATATTTAAAAATCTATGAATTTCTTTTAATTTAGTTATAAAAAATAACATACAAAGACAGACAAACCGTTGACCACTCAAAGTAATGCACAGTGCTATTAGAGGTATGACAGCAGTCGTCACTTTCCGAATATCCACACTATCGAAGGATAGTTTCTTCTTAGACAACTTGAAAAGAAATTAGACTGGTAGCGATCTTTTCGACATGCGAGTATGATTACAAAGACCAAGAGACAATTGCTTCAGGTCGGTGGCCACATATATGTTTTTTGTGAGTACTATTCTTTGTTAGCCCTGTACTTACCACCAGCGATGGAAATTCGCGGAGCAACGTGATGTGTGTTACATTAAGGACTGATCATTTTTAACCTATTCCTGCCATCTTTATAAGGCAATGTCGATTCAGATACTGGTCGTCTAAGACAAAGATGTTACCGTCATCACACTCCAGTACAATTGCTAGTGTGTATCCACACAACCCCCCAGAATCTAATTTGTTGTTTTTAACTTTACCGCTCCTAAATAAATCATTCGAAACATAGATAATTGAAACAGTAATGGTTGCCATGAGAACCTATCTCAATAAACTGAAAGAAAGGAAGAACTAGATATTTTTCTGCAAGCTCACTAAATTAACTCTTGAAAAAAATTCGTTTGACTATTGCGAATGGAAACCGATAGGACTTAATTGGTTTCTGCTAAAGGACTAGATTGCTTATGTCAAGATTTTTAATTTCGTTTCAATTTTAGTGTAAAGGAAAGTATGTTATGAAGTAAAGGTATACAGTTGAAAATTTGAAAAGTAGGATTACCAATTTAGGTCATAATTAATAGTGTTAAAAAGCTCTTAGACGTGATTTAATATCTTGTGGATAGGAATCACTTCTATATCTATTTTTGCCTAATGAATTCATATATATGGAACGAACATCGGGATAACCAAAACAATCCTGTAAACATGGAATCATTGTAAAACCTGGACAGTTGAAGATAACATGGATTATAAACAGATTTAAGTTGATCATTTAGTCGTGGTTAAAGTAAATCATGGTACATGTGTTAGCCTAACTTACTACACCAGATTAAGACGAGATGAATTTTAAAAAATGAATGTCAAGGGAATCGAAAGAATGTAGTATCAATGGTAATCAAAAAGACTAAACATTGAAGATATGATTCAAAAAGACACACATTAAACAAACATTGGGACTGAAGACCTAGGAGAAGAATAACTTGTGAATGTATCTGCCCTTTTGTGACTGCTCTTGAGTCATGTTACTGAATGTTTTTCAACTGCTGATCATGATTATCACGTGGATCCAAACCAGGTATCCCGAATGCTTGGAAACAAAAATCAATGACTTCATGAACTGATAACACAACCGTCAAAAATTAAGAACTAATCCAGTTGCTTCATCCTGATAAATAACTAACCAGTAGTGTGGACCAACATGACCCCAACAGTGGTCAAATTCAAAATTGATGCACCTTGCTACAAACATACAGCTCATCACTAGACAACAGTCACACAATTTAACGAGAAGTGACTGAAGTTGAGAATGTAAATTATTTAATGCTAACAAAATGCAACATATTTGCTGAACTTTCTAAAAGTCCTGAATTCCATTCTTTCTTAGAGGGTTGTGGATGCATATCTCTGAGTTGCATATATTCAAACCAAATAGTCGTTTATTACGCCTTACCAATGGTTTTATATAGCTATCTGTCATTCCGTGGTATGAATTGCCTTCAAATAGTTTCTAAAAAAAAATCTGCTATAACACAGTTTTTAAATACATAAGACAAAAATTCAAACACAAAATCCACTAACTGAAAGCAAAATATATGATTAGTGAGAATCATTATATTGTTTATAATAACAATTACAGTACAATTAAGTAGATATGTACGTGCATATATACAGTAAACTTTCACCACATAAAATTAAGTTTTTGCATCAGTCGATGACGCTTCAACATTATTATAATAAGGAATAAGATTACAGATTGAATGTGTACGACAAATAACCGATACACGTCGTCCACGGTGTAAATTATATAAATCAATCGATTGTTCATTTCGTATTTTATCGACTTGTTCATTAGACAAAATAGCATGTGTTAATAAGTAGCGTAGTGCACCACGCATAATATACACGGATCGTCTAGGTATAAATATATCTATCCATGAACCAATCGGTGGTAAGTTTAATGAATTGAAATAATCATACTGATCTTGAGGAACACCCACTACTTCACTTTGTGGAGCGACAGCTAGACGTAAAATTGAATCAGATAATAGACTTAGCACAGCGATTGACTCTCCACAGAACTGGAAATAAACAACATGAAAATTTTGAGTTCTACCAAGTTGAGTTATTACAAGGAAAAAATAACCAACCTAACATGCATGAGACAGTCAACGTGGTGACCTTGAGTGTCTTTACAGGAACGATGACGTTTGCCACTTACTGGTCGCCCATACTGTGCAAGACTTTAGACAACTCAAAAAAAACCGAATAAGTTGAGGTCTTGACGATATAAAAGCGTGACCACAGGGACCAAAGAACAACTGTTTCATAATGATCACATGGGGTTTTGTGAATACTTTTCGGTTAGCCTCGTGCTTCTGAGGCCTTATCACCAATAATCGTCGTTCGTGAGGCAACATGACATGTGATTCCCTTAGGACTGACCTTTTCCAACTCCTTCCGATTTCATGAAGTAACATAGATCCATGTACTGGTTTTCTTACGGAATCATCCTCCAGTACAGTCATCAGTATGACTTCGTTATCGGACCTCATGTTGCTACTATTGCCTTTTCACCTCTCAAACTAGCATGTCTGGGATCGCAAAAAAGAACAAGTACTTCGGCTAATTTAGAATAACAAGGTCATCACGAAAGGTAACTCAGCCCACCAGATCTAAGTGGGAGATACGATTGATATTTCTAAGATAATCTAATGAAGAAATGAAGTTTATCAGAAGCCTGTGATACATTAATGCAATACAATTTGAAAAACAATCTGACCATACATTAATTTGAAATAATGAATGAGAAAGAAAGCTAAAGCCAAACATATAGAAATATACAGGTAAAAATGCCCCCAAATGCCCTGGTACGGCCGAGAGTGGGGAGAGTCCGCTATCCCTCTCGAAATGCTCTCACATGGCCACGCGTATATAGCCTCTGCCAGGGAAGTCCTATTCACTGCCTTCTCGTGGCGGGGGTGTTGTTTACGAAAATGAGAGGACGAAAAGCGAATTTCCGGCGCTTTAACCTGATCCCAAATCAATGGTGCACATGGGCCCCAGTATCCTGAAGGAACAAATGGCGTATGAACCAATCGTTGGTCATCGGCTACCATGGGACTGCATCTCCTCACGATGCCCCACTGCCTTGTGGGTTAGACATTCAGGTCGAAGGCTCGGGGTGTGACCACCTAAGGAAACCACCTGCTTCGGTTTGCGCACCCAGGCAGTATCACAGCCCTCACACAAATCAATTGAGATTCGTGTGGCGCATATGTACTTGGTGCCTCCTTGTACCTATACCTATGTGTTAAAATAAATAAATAAATAATACAAGTAAAAATGGCATCACAATGTACTTTAACGCTATCCACATGTGCCATTATCTCCCCATTTTCAGCCAAATCCAAAACGTGAATTAATGGAAGTACTAATTGGTCAATATTTGCAACATCTGCTTCCATAGCCGTTGATGATGCTGTTAAACCATTGCTTACAGAAGTTGATGCTCTTAATCGATCGATAACAAGCTGATTGGTCGTTGTATGCCAACTTTTGCGTTCCAATTCACGAAAATTCTTAATAGCCTGGAAGAAATATAAGGAGAAACATACCATTTCGGAGAACATACAAAACTTGTGCAAGAATGCATAGAAAAACTATAGAAATCCCAATTTAAAATAAACTGACAGTTCAAGTGTGATTTCAATGATAACGATATCCTAGGACAAAACAAGTAATAAATAGTGTCTATATGTAATGCCCCTAAATGCCCTGGTACGGCTGGGAGTGGAGAAAGTCAACTCTCATTCTCAATATGCTCTCACATGACTACGCGTATAAAGTCACTGTCAGGAAGTCCTAATCAATATCTCGCGGCAGGAGTGTTGTTTACGAGAGTGACAGGACAAAAAGCGAATATCCAGTGCTTTAACCTGGTTGGTGGATGTGTAGGATTGACCTAAGGGAGTTGGAAAACCTTGATTCCAAACCAATGGTGCATATTGACTCCAGAATCCTAAGGAAACAAATGGCGTGTGAACCAATTACTGGTCACTGGCTACCATGACACTCCATCTCCTTACGTTGCTCCACTGCCTTGTGGATTAGTTCTTTAGGTTAAAGGTTCGGGGTGAGTCCTCCCAAAAAAAATCATATTTCGTTTGGGCACCAGGACAGCAACCCAGCCCTCACACAAATCTCATGGAGAAGTGTGGCACATATATTTGGTGCCCCTATGTACCAATGTGTATGTTTAAACAAATAAATAAATATCCATTAACCAATAAGCTACTGCACCACACAATATTACTATACAGCAATCATAATCGAATGGTTGAACATAAAGTAAACCAGATCGACTTCTCACTATTGCCAAATTAAACCCGTAGGAAGACACTAAGCTTAAAATTAACACTCAATACAAATTTTGCGGTTAGGATTAGCTGTTTACCTACCGTATTCCTTTATAACTTTTATATAAGATAGTGTGAATTATCACATAATGTACAAAATACCGAGTAGCATGGATTCATAAATCAATCAGCGACGTAGGGATTTCGAAATACTGTGCACTGATAGAGGCTGTCTCGGATCAGAAGAAAACAAACACCATATCTAGGATGGGAAATAGGATGGACGGGAATGAAAACCCAAATACGAGAAACACATTTGAAAAAGTAATAAACTACAATGAACTTTTCTCCTTTCTAAACTCTAAGGATTAAAAACATGCGCAATTTTTATGGATAAACTTAGCCTCAGATGTAAAAAACCTACAGCCCAGTAAAGGTGACCACATCTACAAACTGAAAGGGAAAACAATGGATTGAACATGTTTATACCAACAGAAACATGGCAAACTAGATGGACAAAACTAGGCAAAATCAAGAAAAACTAGGGCAAGGAATAAATGAAGTAAGGCAAGCACTCACTATACCAAAAGCCTTCTGACAGCTTTAATTATTTCAAGAATGAGTAAGACTTTGTTATGACTAAAAACAAAAGTGCAGATCAACGGAGCGATTATTACATTACTATGGCAGGAAACGGTGTAATTAAAACTTAAAAACTCCATTTTCCCCTTACGCCTTAGATAAAGTATGGTATATTTATTTCTCAGAACTTATGAAACGCCAAAGAACGCAATTGCAATCTAGTGTTCCAAAACTACTTCATTTATAGAAGGGAAGGAATTATTTTGAACAGTGAAAAAGCAAATATTTGAATAACTTACATAATCCCAATGCTTTGTTTGGTACTTTCGTTTGCAAAGTACAGAATCAAGTTCAGTTATCAAACTTGACTCTTCTTTCTCGGTAACAAAATCCTGTTTAAGTATTAATTCATTAGAAACAATCTCGACAAGACTAGGATATTTTGAGTTAAATTTTGTCAACCATGTCTTTTGAAAAGTTGAAAATGTAGTAGAATAAAAACCAGAACAAGAACTACGCGCTGACAAGAAATTAAGCCGCCGTGCCGCCCAACTCATAACCCCGCCATCCAAGCCCAATAGACAAAGATTAGTGACTTTGTGACGAACTTGACAGTCAGTCAGTTTATTTGCAATTTGATTTCGATACTAAGGCATTGTCTTGAAACATTTGGGAGCGAGAAGTGTTTTACACCTGAAGTAGAAAAATTGTAAATCTGTCGTTTTGTGACTTGTTAACCACTTCTTCAGAGCAAATAAGTAACGAGATCGAATCAATATATGTTTATCTGGTACAAAAACAATGCAGAATAAATTTTGTACAGTCAAAATGGTAAGAGGTCTTAATATTTCAATGTCAAGTTATTCTCGGTCAAGTAGAATTCGTACATGTCACCATAATAATCCGCGTTTCAGATTGTGGGTGCGAAAAATATATTCATTTGTTAAACCAAGTGGTGAAGTCAAAATAAATTGTGTACATAAATTATATGGAAAGTAAATGAGGTCAGATGTGGGTGTTTGGCCAAATAGTCTAGGCTGGATGTATATTCGTGCCTTCTTTCCTGTTGAGTGCAGAGGGATGTAGCATAATGTGAAACGCTTCGGCTAGTGGTCATTGTAGTTAGACAAACCTTTCAGAATTATTTCGATACTTTTAACATCAATTCGGTGATTATTTCTTATAAATTGTGGCCGTCAACCAGAGAGCAGCGAATTATCGATCGGATCAACGACGCGTAAAACACGTGTCAGCAGCCTAGAGTTCTGATTGGTCTAGCTTTCCGCATAGCCCAGCTAGTTGAGTCCAGAACATCAGTCTCAGCCTCTGCGACATGAATCAATATATTTCAAACATACTGAGTTTATGTACCAATCAAACAGACCACAAGGTAGCATAAAATAGAAAATAACATTTGTACAAAATTTGACTAAATGTGGCTGTGAATGTGGGAGGCAGTGACTAATAAACAGGGTATAATTCAAGAATGGTAAAACGTATGATAATGGTTCATAGGTCAAAATAAAGCTTATAATAAGAGGAACATGAATATGAATAGTTTAGTCATTTAACAATTATACGATAAAAATATACTTTTAGTACTGATTCATTATAAGGATCCTGAAGTTACCATTCATTATGTTTATCGGGACCTAACAGTATTAAAAATGGCATGTTCTGCTGTTACTGAATTAATCTGTAGATTTTACAATTCTAAAGGGTTATAAAGAAAGTATGAGAACTGGGTAAGCATAAGATTAATTTAAAAATTGAGAAATGGTTTCGATAATGGTACTGAATTGGATAAAAGAATCAGTAACCGCGAAACTTCGAGATCGTTTCAGTTTCTCTAAGAGTCAATCGTGAACAGGAAAAATCGCGACACTATGGGTCATTGTTGAGGGATTAATTGAGTAGTATTCATCACGTTACATCAACGAACCTGAAAACCAGGGACAGCATTGCTACAGAAGAATAGTATTGGAAAATCAAAACAACTGTCAATTAGAACCAGAATCAGGATCTACAGTACGAACTTTCAGGAGGGTTAACTGCATGGGACAGAAGCCTGAAGAACTAACACAGTTATCGTTAAAAATGTATGGCAGTTTACAGACGAATTTCTAAGTAAGATACTGCAGTTTCATTCGGTAGGCAACTAATCAGCCTCAAGCTCAGGAGGAAGTTAATAAAAGACACACAGTGATACACGACACATTTTACGGACACCGTCAACTCTCGATACACGATAGCTGTAGGATTACGAGTCAGAGGAAGTTCTCCCATGAGGCTCCACAATATTAGATGATCACGCTCTACTTACAATATCCTTACATCACATGCCAAAAAGACAGATTCTAGATATCGTACTTATCATACTTACAAATTGCAGGGTGAAATACACTTTATTCACACGATGAAGATTACTTACTTACTAACCTACTCCTGTTACTCCTCGTGAAAGATCATAGGCCGCTATTTTGTTTTATTTGGTAGTTGAAAGTGAATAGGACACACATTTAAAAAAATCACAAAACTCTCTAAGAGATAAGCCATAACTTGAAATCCTGAAAAGAAATGGAAAAAAGGAAGGTCAAAGAACACACTACGGCAGGAATCCAAATCAGATATGAAGAGAATGAATTACAACTGGAAACAACTGGAATGGATTGCTCAGAACAGAGTTGGATGGAAAATGCTGGTGAATAGTATATTTTTTCCATGAAGGATAACGGGACTAAGTAAGAAAGCGTGTTTGTACGAATGAAGTGTTAGTTTCGTTTAATATGATAGAAGTAAAATTTCATCCGGTGTGACAATTATATTATTCTGATATGAACTTGATAAGTGCGTTACAGTAATGTTGTGTATCTTATCACTAATTTGATGCCTACTATCTGTTCATTAATTATATACAAAAACAATATAAGTAAGTATATTTAGTTTAATGACATGATTTAGGATTAGTTTAAAGAATGGGTCTTTAGATAGTCAATAAATCTTCATAGTTTTATTTCACATAATAAGAATTGTAACGGTCACCATTTCAATACATGACCTGTAAGATAAGGGATCAAATGAATACATCCCTGTAACTCCCAGTGAAGCCTAGGCTGCCGACCAGCATTCACCATTTTTTCATAAGCGTTTTTTTAGACAACTAGTTTTCCACGGAATAGGATAGCTAACCCCATGGTTAACCCTTCTCTTTTATTCGGGCTTGGGACCAACAGCAGCCCAATAGGGTTTCTGGCGGAGTAAACCATATACTTCTTCAAACAAATTTAATAAAAATGCTCGTCCATAATGTTTGTTATACCTTTCGTTCGATCCTAACCATATAATTAAATCCAACTCCTGTTGAGTTTTTGTATATTTATGATAAGGTTCAGTAGTAAAGTAATTAAAATGTTGTCGAACCATTATTATATCATCATAACAACCATATTCATCAATAATTTAATTTTCATCAGAATAACAAGATATACACATATATACTTTGATTACGATTATGTCCTAATAATTTTGGTACTGAACAATCTAAATTTTGATTTACCTACTTACATCTGTTATCTTCAATGGGGCATAGGCCACCAAACAACATTCTCCAACTTACTCCATCCTAGGCCTTTCACGCAGTTGAGTGGTTTGCCCAATGTGTATTATATTCACTTATAGCGCTCCTTCCTAATTTCTTTTCCCGCTGGGATTTGGTTTTTTCTCTCACACAGTAGGTTGTTGCTGATATTGTCTGGCCAACGGAACCCAAGTATTTTGCGTAGACAATTGTTAATTAATACTCGTATCTTCAGGAATGCGGATTTCGTAGTGTTCCACGTTTCCACGCCATAGAGTAGAACTGTCTTGACTTTCTTATTGGACGTTCTCACTTTGTTATCGGTTGACAGATGTTTTGATTTACATGTCACCTTTATTGTATTTTGATCAAATTTAGTCTCTTTTAATCTTTGGTAATTTACCCTGAATAGATTTTCACACTTCACTGTTAAACAGTTGAAGTAATGAACGGAAAATCTTTCAATTTTTGCTTGTCTACTGCTTGTAAATAATTGTCAGCAAGTTGTGTCTACAATCTTTAGGGAACCGATACTGTATTTGTTATTCCGACTAGAACTACTGTTTTATACGTTATCATTGAGTTATACGGGTCAACACTGATTTCCTTATAAACCCGATTAATTAGTGTTGATTGATTACAGAACACTAATGAATAGCATATTTACCAAACCTTTGATCATCCTGGTCGGATCATTGCAGTCAAGTTACTACATAACCACTATTATAATCTGCTTGATATTAACATCTGACCATATTTAGTAAACTTAAGTATCTTGATAACACCAGTCGGCAATAGTTATATCGTTGCATAAATTCACTAGACGGATGTTAAAGAACATGTCAACATGAATTTAACTGGCGTTAGTAGTTTCATATTTAATTCTAGGAATCAGTAAACAACTATTTAATCATATTTGGCAGAACAACAGCTCCATTACCAGACAGGTTTAGTTACAAATCTGGTGTAAACAGAGGAACAAAGAAGTCATGACAAACAACGGAAGCATTTTGTGAACCTTATATCACTCAATTCAAGGTTTGTAAAACACTTACATTGATTTATATTTTTAGTTTATTCCGCGAGCCAAATGCTTTCATTTGATGTATGATTCGCTGCCATACGGTTTTCTGTTCCGAAGCTATTGTAATTTAGACTAAACCTATTGTTCTCTATTTTTCCACCTTAATGCTTAGTTTGGACATAATTGTATTTCTCTTATTGTTTGTGTGTTGTGGTCGTATCAGTCATGTATTTATTTATCTACCTTTTTAATAATAATCTGAATCGGAAGTCAGAAATGAACCGAGGAGTTTTCCAGCTGACTACGTCTTGTTGTCTCTTTCTCGCTTGTCAACTAATCAGGTGATAGAATAGCTAATATCTCTCTGCCGAAAGATATTGGTATCAATTCGAACTCACTCATTTCTAACCCCAAAGTCAATTCAGTTAGCTCACCATGTCCAAGTGATAACGATTATCCAGACAAACTATCTCCTGTGTACTAGTGGGTCTAGAGATTAGGGACGTAAAAACATCAATCGATCATCTCTTTACATCATGATCCAGTGCGATCTGAAATATCCGACTTCAACCTCTTGCTTTGTTGTGAATAAAGTCGCAAAAAAGAACTAAATATCTGCCTCCTTCTTATTCACTGACCCTCAAGGTAACATCATTCTGTGATGAATAGATAGCTCTTCACATATCGTACTGCAGGATGATGTTACCAATGTGACTGTAATGATGATCATTAATCATTTTAGTAAGAAACTGCTATGTCCCGACAAGAATAGTGAATGGTAATTTTTGGATCCATTTGTGGACAAATACTAAACGTATATTTTTATCGTATAATTGTTAAATGACTAAACTATTCATATTCATGTTCCTCTTATTATAAGCTTTATTTTTACCTATGAACCATTATCATACGTTTTACCATTCTTGAATTATACCCTGTTTATTAGTCACTGCCTC